TCATGGTAATATATCGCTTTGTTGAAATTGCCGAGACTTCTATAAGCGCTACCGAGATTACCACAGGCACGTCCTTCTTCAGCCCTCCTTTCTAGATCCTTGGCAATTTTTAGATCAAGTTCATAGTACTCTATGGCTTTTTTGAAATCTCCGAGACTGATGTATGCGTTGCCAAGGTTGCCATAGGCATTTGCTATTCCATCCGCTTCTCCCATTTCTTTCGTTAATTTTAGATTTAGTAGATGGTAGTCTATGGCTTCTTTGAAATTACCGAGACAGCAATGGCAATTGCCAAGGTTACAATATGCATCGCTTATTCCACTCTTGTCTCCGACTTCTTTGGCAATTTTCAGTTGGAGTTTATGAAACTCTATGGCTTTCTTGAAATCACCACGTGTTTCATAATCGGAACCGAGACCTCCATAGGAGCGTCCTTCTCCAGCCCTGTCTCCAATCTCCTTGACAAATTGAAGGTGGAGTTGATGGAAGCCTTTGGCTTTTCTAAAATCGCCGAGACTGCAATAAACGTTTCCAAGATTGAAATATGCACGTCCTTCTCCAACTTTGTCTCCCATATCTTTGGCAATTTTAATATGAGATTGATGGTGAGTGATAGCCATATTAAACCTTCCAAGACTATGGTAAGTGATGCCAAGATCCCCATACGCGCATCCTTCTGCAGCCCTGTTTCTAAGTTCTTTAGCAATTTTCAGATCAAGTTCATGATAGTTTATTGCTTTTTTAAAATTTCCTAAGCTCCAATAAGCGTTGCCAAGACTGCCATACGCTCTTCTTTCTTCATCCCTGTCTTCCAGTTCTTTGGCAATTTTAAGCTGGAGTTCGTAAAAGTCTCTTGCTTTCTCAACACCGCCGAGACGGTATTGAGCATTTCCCAGATTACCATAAGCTATACATTCTGAAGCCCTGTCCCCCATTTCTTTAGCCAGTTCGAGTAGCAATTCAGAGCAGTGTAGGGCTTTCTTGAAATATCCAAGACTATCAAACGCGTTGCTAAGGTTACAATTGGCACGTATCTCTCCTGCTTTGTTTCCTATTTCTTTGGCAATTTGCAGATCGAGTTCATAATTTTCCACGGCTTTGTTTAACTCGCCGAGACCAAAGTAAGCGTTTCCGAGACAACCATATGAAATTCCTTCTAGAGCCCTGTCTTCCTCTTCTTTAGAAAGTTTCAGGCAGAGCTTATGGTAGCGAAAGGCTTTTTTGTAATCACCGAGGCAGTCATACGCGTTCCCTATAGCGTTATAAGCACCCCTTTCGTAATCTTTATCACCGTATTGTTTTGCAATTTTAAGGCATAGTTCTTGGTGAACTATAGCTTCTTCAAAATTACCAAGACGGTAATAAGCTTTGCCAAGACCACCATATGCAAGTTTTTCTTCGGTCGTATCTCCTTCCATTTTGGCCAATTCAACAGCACGATCCAGAAAGTCTATAGCCTTTTTGAAGTCACCTAGGCTGTTGTAAACGTCGCCAATGTTGTTATACGCACAGGTCTCTTCAGCCCTGTCTCCCGCATCTTTGGCAGTTTTAAGATGGAGTTCATAATACTCCATGGCGTCTTTGAAATCACCGAGAAGGAAATAAGCATCGCCAAGATTAACGTAGGCAATCCCCAATTCTTCAACATTGTCGCCCACTTTCTTGACAATTTGGAGATGAAGCTTATGGTAATCTATGGCTTTTTTTAAATCACCAATACTGTCGTAAGCGTTGCCAAGGTTACTATACGCACGGGCTTCTTCAGAACTGTATTCCATTTTTTTGGCAATGTTAAGATGGAGTTCATGATAATCTATGGCTTCTTTGAAATTTTCAAGGCTGGCGTAAGCGTCACCAAGATCAGAATACGCAGCCCCTTCACCAGTCTTGTCTCCCACCATCTTGACAATTTCAAGATGAAGTTTATGGTAGTCTATGGCTTGTTCAAAATCACAAAGACTACTATAAATCTTACCAAGATTAGCGTAGGCACGTCCTTCTTCGATCTTGTTATCCAACTCTTTGGCAATCATGAGACATCGCGTTTGGTAGTCTTTGGCTTTCTCCAGTCCCCGCTTGAGACTTTGAAACTCGTCATCAAGGTCAGAAAATGAATCCAGATGATTTAATTTGGTTGTATCATCAGAGTTTCCTAAAATAGTTAAGGTAGCAAACTGTTTACTACAACGCAACTTGCTACGCATATCGTTTGACCTTTCAGTCGGGGGAACAAGTGCCGTTTTAATTTGGTAAATCTAATTCGTCGAAGCACTCGAAGAGTTTCCGATTCTTATAAGCAACATGAGCACTCACGACTAGTACTCCAAAAATTATGACGCCAGCTACGTCATGTTGCTTAGCAACATGACGAAAATCGCGGGCTCAACACTTGTACTTGTTCCCCAAACTGCATGCTATCGCTGTATATTTTTAAGAGTCTCGCAGCATTTTGTCGAGTCGTATATATATAGAGCGAGTCAAAATACCAAATGACGAGTAAAAAAAATGTACAGTGATACTACACAATAAAATGTCTAACAAGGGCTCTATTATTGAACGTTTTGTTTCCAGACCTGAAATACTGACTTTGAACCGTTTTTGACGCTCTTGCGCAGTCATCAGAAGGAATAAATGGACTGCAGATAACCTGTTAAACCAGTCTCCTAGAGTACAAACTACTGTACTGTATTGGAGCTGGAGCTGGAGCTGGAGCTGTCCTTACAAATATGTCATCAAATAAATATTAAATTGATATAAATAAATCAACTGAAATACATCAATCAATCAATAAACAATCAATGCAATAAGGTAATCTACAATACAATACAATACAATACTTTATTTAACCACGTATCACACAGGAGCTAAAGAAGCTCGTTAAAACGTGAACGTGAAATTATAAATAAGTAAAATGGTAAAAATTATTACATATACATAAATATAAAATATTAAAAACCTATTCTATGTCGTATCTTCCATAATAATATATTATAAAATTACTAAAAATATCGGTCGGACTAACGTTACCCTCCCCCTCCTACTTAAACTAGATAGAATCAATTATCTAGGTGCTGTTGTTTTATAGCAGAGCGGTTTTCAAAGCCAATCGCGCGCTACTTTATCGCACGCGTTTGCCATTGTCTTTCGCGACATGTACTTACAGTGCCCAGTTTTCCTACGCGCAGCATAATAATTTGCATATCCACTGAACTAGTCGGCTGTGATTGGTCAACGGGTTTAGCCTTGAGTCTCTTTGCAGATTTCGGCTGCTGTCAATCAAACGTGAAGTAAATCCCAAGGTGCGATAAAGTTAACAATAGCGCTCTAATTAAAGGCGGGCCGCGCTCTTTACAAAGCGTTTGTCAACAGATTCGCGTGTAGAGATATTTTTATTTGACTCAATAGACTGACAGACTCCCGATGGTCAAAACGTTATCTGAATTATCTGAAATAGTTTACTCTTCGTCTTTACGCGGTTTTCGCGCGACCCCCGTAGAGAATAAGGAGCGCGAAAAATTGGCCTGATCGCAGGTTCATAGCGAGCGCGAAGCGCGGGTCACTCGCTTTTACTTCATACTTGCACTCTATAATTATACTCCACTGAAACGCAGTGCTGACCTGCAGAATATTACTAAATTTTCAAAACATAATGTAGCGGTTTTGCAGGACAAGGCGGTCCTAAGAGTGTTGCTAAGAGTGTTGCTAAGAGTGTTCCTAAGAGTGTTCCTAAAAGTGTTCCTAAGAGTGTTCCTAAGAGTGTTCCTAAGAGTGTTCCTAAGAGTGTTCCTAAGAGTGTTCCTAAGAGTGTTGCTAAGAGTGACTGTTCCTAAGAGTGTTCCTAAGAGTGTTCCTAAGAGTGTTCCTAAGAGTGTTCCTAAGAGTGTTCCTAAGAGTATTCCTAAGAGTGTTCCTAAGAGTCTTCCTAAGAGTGTTCCTAAGAGTGTTGCTAAGAGTGACTGTTCCTAAGAGTCTTCCTAAGAGTGTTCCTAAGAGTGTTCCTAAGAGTGGTCCTAAGAGTGTTCCTAAGAGTGTTCCTAAGAGTCTTCCTAAGAGTGTTCCTAAGAGTGTTCCTAAGAGTGTTCCTAAGAGTGGTCCTAAGAGTGGTCCTAAGAGTGGTCCTAAGAGTGTTCCTAAGAGTGGTCCTAAGAGTGTTCCTAAGAGTCTTCCTAAGAGTGTTCCTAAGAGTGTTCCTAAGAGTGGTCCTAAGAGTGTTCCTAAGAGTGTTCCTAAGAGTCTTCCTAAGAGTGTTCCTAAGAGTGTTCCTAAGAGTGTTCCTAAGAGTGGTCCTAAGAGTGGTCCTAAGAGTGGTCCTAAGAGTGTTCCTAAGAGTGGTCCTAAGAGTGTTCCTAAGAGTCTTCCTAAGAGTGTTCCTAAGAGTGTTCCTAAGAGTGTTCCTAAGAGTGGTCCTAAGAGTGGTCCTAAGAGTGTTCCTAAGAGCGTTCCTAACAGTGTTCCTAAGAGTGTTCCTAAGAGTCTTCCTAAGAGTGTTCCTAAGAGTGTTCCTAAGAGTGTTCCTAAGAGTGGTCCTAAGAGTGGTCCTAAGAGTGGTCCTAAGAGTGTTCCTAAGAGTGGTCCTAAGAGTGTTCCTAAGAGTGTTCCTAAGAGTGTTCCTAAGAGTGTTCCTAAGAGTATTCCTAAGAGTGTTCCTAAGAGTCTTCCTAAGAGTGTTCCTAAGAGTGTTTCTAAGAGTGTTCCTAAGAGTGTTACTAAGAGTGTTGCTAAGTGTATTTCGCACCATTCATGTTTGCAACCTGATTCAAAGTTTTGGAGAAAAGAGTGCACTGGCAGACGCGTAAAAGCCAAGGGTGAACTTACGCAGGCTAGAGTGAGAAGGAAAATAACAATTACATGATCCTAGCTAGCTTGTTCCCCTGGGAAATTTGTATGTTAATGTGCGTTAATGTATTCAAAAATCCCGCCATTGATTCCAAATCATCCCGCATCCCGCCTGCGAATAGAAGCTCATCCCGTATCCCGCACCTAAATTTATCTACTGTAGGAGCCACGGTGGCCTAATGGTTAATGCGTTGGATTCCGGTTAGCGCGGTCCGGGTTCGAGCCCTGGCCGGGCTCACTGTGTTATGTTCTTGGGCAAGGCACTTTACACTTTACTCATATTGCTGGTTTGCAACCAATCCCGAGAGATTCAAATGACAAAGACGCGGCGGCCATGTTGGGGGTACAAACAATAGAAGCCAATTAGAAATCTTTTGTTAATGACCCCAGCTGACGTCGCTTGCAAACCACCAATAGCGCCTCTCTCCACCCAGGAGTATAAACTTTTTTCCCGCGCTTGGCCAGTCACGTGTATTTGCTTCGAGTTCTCATTGGCTCGTTCTGTTGTTTACGTTTGTTGTGATTGGCCATTATAATTACTTTGGTTTTGTTTCTACGACACTCAACTGAGAACCGCTCTATAAGGGAATAAAACATTGAATGACAAGATCTCACCTAAACATAAATAAGTTGTTGCTCTGTTGCTGTACAGTTTGGCATTCAGTTCCTCATCCTTGCAGTTAAATTTAATCCCTTCCGTGTAGGAGTCAATGGCGTTTCTGAATTCTTTCTTTTCGTATTTCTCGTTTCCTTCAGCGTAGTACGTCTCTGCTATTACTGAAACACAACAATATTTAACAATTAGATTATTCGCTCTCAATTTCTATATATATTTAGTAAAACTCTACTAGTACACTAATGCAAATGAGACAATCTGATTGGCTGAGCTACTCGTACACTATCAGCCATTAGTGTGCAGTGGCTGGAGGTTGTCTACAAAATTGCGGTTTCTTTTCGTTTCTCCGAAGTTTCGGAAGAAGAGTTAATACTAGACAATTGTTATGATTTTTACTAAAACAATTAGATTATTCGCTCTCAATTTCTATGATGTGATAGTTGATTCGGCCTACGGCCTACGGTCTCATCAACTATCATATCATAGACTGGGGGTCATAAACCTGCTCTTTCCTAAAACAAGGTCCGAAGGGGATTTAGAGTCATTATTTTAGTCAATTTCCTTACTTCTTAAAGTTTCATCATCAAACTCCAGAGTCTCTGTAGCAGGAAGTGTTGCATTAGTCTCACTCGTCACTTTGGTTGGACTGCATGCCATGGCTGCTCTGTGAATGATGGAACTCCGATATTGTCTACAATTTCAGAACCGGGATACCTAGAAATCAAAATGGAAATACATGATTGTATCTTAGCCCGACCCGATATTGGAATAATAATCCTAGGCTTTCATTGCCTATAGCCTAGAGAAAAAATACATCCAGCAGTGGCGGATCCAGGGGGAGGGTCGGGGGGGGGTCCGGACCCCCCAATCAGACCTGAGGAGTCTCTTTTGCTTTCTCCATTATCCATAGCAAAACCATCTCCAGGTTCCACCAAAATACACTTTTCGGAGCCTGAAATCTCAAACATTTTCTGGGGGAGGCCTCAAAACACCCCCTCAACACCTTTTAGTAATAACTCCGTACTGCCGTCTAATTCCTAAAATTATCCCTCTACTTCACATTTTCGGGAAAAATTCTTGGATCCGCCCCTGTCCAGGGGAGTAGCAACACTCTTAATCGCTTCATGCTAAAGAAACCAAAGTTACGTGCCGGTACTCACCTCCGTATGGGTGAGGAGGAATTCGCATCACGCCCACAAAATGAGGCTCTTGTACCTTTTAGGGGTTCATTTCAAAATTTCTGACTATCACCCCGTCACTTTTATACGGGATTCCCCTTCGGGGAGGCCTCGAGTACGAAACTATTTTCCATTATATATCTGTTAAACTGAAGCAAAGGTAAGAGCGATTGGAGGAGCCAGATCGCTCATGCCAATTCTAACGACAAGTCAGTTCCCGTTATATTATTTTTCCGGCTTAAGGGACTGTGCAATAATTACCAGGGGGGGGGGGGGGGGGTTGGAAAACCAGAGGGGGGAGGCATAAAGTAAAATCAAAGCAAGGATAGGGGGGGCTCAAGGTAAAATAAGTCACTCAAGAGAGGGGGGGGCCTTAACATTTTATTTCAAGTACATATTACATTGGTGAATCCATACCTATTTATAAGATGGGAACCGAAAATTTTTCCGGCCCTTCGGAAAATAACACACATGCTCTTTTCCTTCTGCTATGGCTCTGTTGAACAATGCTACGGAGGTGATGTTTGTTCCAGACGCGGATGTCCAACAATTAAACATGTAGTAGGAGCTCTTCTTTCTGTTATAAGATTTTAATCCACAGGTGCGTGTAGAGAAAATGTAGGGTACTTGTATAAAGGTGTGTGTATACTGTGAGGGGGGGTCGTACATAATTTCTGACTGATTAGAGGGGGGGCAATAACTAAATTCACTCCTTTAGGAGGGGGGTATTACCTAATATTTGGCTACATGAAGCCCATTTTCCAACCCCACCCCCCCCCCCCCCCCCCCCTCCTGATAATTATTGCACAGTCCCTAAGGCGGAAGTTAACCTGAATGCCCTTTTTCCGCCACTTAACATGGGTTTAATGGAAATATCTCGTTCATGTTTCAAGCAATCCAAAAACTCTCTGCTTAAAACATGAATCTATGTTATGGGGTGTTTTGTAAATTTTTGGTGATTTTTGTTTTTTTGGGGGGAGGAAATAGTTTTTCTCAATGGAGTTGTAAAATTTAGGGAAATAAGAAATATTGAGATTTGATGTAGTTTTAAAATTAGAATTTGAAGTTAAAAATGAGTAGATTGACAATTGACAGACAATTGATAACCACGCAAGAGCACCCGCGTGGGTATCAACTGTCTGTTGGTGTTCCAAAAAAAAAAACATTTCCTTCTATCCCTTCTTTAAACCTCTTAAAATTTCATTGAAATTCACGTGTACTCCCGCCTTAATAATACCCTAAAAGGTGCTAATGGTAGCCTGCGAGCGCAGACGTATTTCCGGCTCGAGTTTCCCCGCCGAAAATTGGGGAAACTCGAGCCGGCTAATGGTGGTCATTTTAGAATTACTAAGCGATATCAAGACAAGAATTTTAACCCCTTAAAGGTACGGGAGTTCCCCCGAGACTGAGTGATGAAACTGAAACTTTCTCATTGACCTGGTTATATTGCCTTCATTAGGGGGGTATCGAATGGTCGCTCAAAATTTTCAAGTGCTCGAAAAATTAGGCTTCTGCTCGAATTGTTCGCAAAATTTTAGTGGGTGCTCGTTTGCTCGTGCTCGCATATTTTTACAACTTTCGCATGCTCGGTTTTTGATAAAGGTAGTTTTTTGCAGAGTGCTCGCTGCTCGCAAGGCTGAGTTTTATCGATGCTCGTGCTCGCAAAGAAAAGCGCTGTGCTCGCATGCTCGCAAATGCTCGCAAAGACCATTCGATACCCCTTTCATTGGTATTTACAACTGTTGTGTGTATAACCGTTGCTCACCAGGCTTTTACACAGATATAGAGCCGATAGGAAATCTCGGAATTAATAACGAGGAGGCGAGAAAAATCCTCTTTGGTTGTTATGTAGCTACGATTTCAGCATTACATGAATATTTCATTTTATTTTGAAGCTCAGAGTTCGTAACTAACAGAGTTATTCAAGAACCTTCTATGAAATATATAGCGTAAACTACCCCCGGGGGGTACTCCCTATAATGGACTACACGGGGAGGCTCCGCCCGAAAGGGGAAGCTTTTTCAGGCTGAAGGTATATAAAAGGGTAGGGATTTCACGAGTTGAAGTATAGAAAAGGGTAGGAAACGGTTATTTAGGTGTTTAGGGACTTTGCAATAATTACCAGGAGGGGGGGGTGGGGGGGTTGGAAAACCAGAGGGGGGGGGGGGGGCATAAAGTAAAATCAAAGCAAGGATAGGGGGGGGCTCAAGGTAAATAAGTCACTCAAGAGAGGGGGGGCTTAACATTTTATTTCAAGTACATATAACATACCTATTTATAAGGTTGGGACCGAAAAAGATTTTAATCCACAGGTGCGTGTAGACAAAATGCAGGGTACTTGTATAAAGGTGTGTGCATACTGTGAGGGGGGGGGGGGGGGGGTCGTACATAATTTCTGACTGATTAGAGGGGGGGCAATAACTAAATTCACTCCTTTAGGAGGGGGGTATTATCTAATATTTGCCTACTTGAAGCCCATTTTCCAACCCCCCCCCCCCTCCCTCCTGATAATTATTGCACATCCCTTAAAAGGGCCTTTCAAAATATCTCGAACAGACGCACCTAACGGTTGATTCATCCAATATTTTAAGGGGCTACTTAAGCGAAAAGTTTAGTAAAAGTCAGTAAAATGGATGTATTGTTTCAGCTGTAGGTATGTGAAAGGGGTACCATTTTCTATGAAAGGTACCGTGAAAGGGTTACATTTTCTGTCAAAAATGTTATATTAAAGGTATGGGTTTGGACCTCAGGGCTAAAACTTTGTTGAGTATCCCCTCCCCCCCGGTTAACCGACCGGAAGTCAGCGTCAAGTCAAACTTCGTACGAAACCGAAACTATTGCTTACAAAGATTACAACATAAGATCCACAAGAAACGTATTCCATTTGTTTCAGTGTTTTTATCTCTTAGTAAGTAGCTAGAAAGTAATCAAGTTAATTTTAATTAACAGTTAATTTTAATTAAACGCGTTTATTCTTTTAACGCGTTTTTATTTAATAATAATATTCTCTAAGGAGATCTATACAACGGAATACAAATAGGAGAAGTACCTACCTTTCCGTCTATCACAGAAATGAAATGAAAAAGCTTGTTAGATTCCTTGTGTTGTACGGCTACCTGTGGGGAGGGAAAAAATTGTAAGCCATCAGTCACCCATTCAGACACAGTCGAAGCTTCCGTCAAGCGGACACCCTCGGGACGGCAGAAAAAGTGTCCGCAACTGGAGCTGGCGTTTGTGTGAGCTAGAGTTCAAACGGGGTTTTGTCAAGGTAGTAGAGCTGTCCGCTATTACGAGATTGTCCGCTCAGAGAGCTTCCATTGTACGGGAATTCTACCGAATATGAATTTACAGAATGGGTTCACAACTCACCAAATGACTGATGAAAACCTAATCCCACATGTACAATTAACTACACTGGATGCGACTTTTGATAGAGAGACTTA